CTCTTCTTCCTTTTTTCTTTTTTGGACAAGGTTTCACTATGTAGCCCTAGCTGGCCTAGAACTCCTTATGCAGATCAGGCTGGCTTTGAATTCAAAGCTACTGCCCTACTTTTGCCTCCAGAGGGCTGGAATTAAAGGCATACACCACCACACCTGGCTTGTTTAGTATTTGAAATGGGATCCCACCTAGTCCAGGCTGGCTTAAACTTGCTATGTAGCCAAGGCTAGCCTTGAACTCCCTCCCCCTGCCTCCACAACTTGAACACTGGGATAACAGGTTATGTGCTGCCACACCACCTGGCTCACGGCAACAATCTTTAAGCATAGGAAACTGCCAGGACAGATATTCTCTGCTTGGCTCCCTAGTGCATCTTCACTAACAAATCTCACACATAGAATTTACCTAAATGTGTTTTGTAAATTAATAGATAGATACTTGTATTTACAAAGATTATCAGTACCATTGTTACATCAAAGCTACAGGAAAACAAACATATGATCAGCCAGTTGAGTATGTAAAAACAAACAAACAAAAAGCCCTAGGCCAGGGCCCTTGGGTAATAATATTTAAAGATCAGGCGAAGGAAGAAGAGAAGAGATTGGTATAAAGGAGGCTGAGAGGTAGGAATTAAAATAGGCTGATGTGCTGGAACTGAAGAACGGACTTCAAGGAAGAAGTGGTAAGATGGTTTCTTTTCCCTGAACAAATGTCATCTTGGGACAGGGATGGAGGTGTGGACATCCTCTGTCCTTAATTCCTAGCGGTAAAGAAACCCAAGAAGCTTCTCAGAGAGCAGTGGAGCAGGGGCTTGCAAGGTGTTCTAAGGGGGCCTGTCTCTGAAGAGGGTGCTAAGTAGGGAGAATACCCAGAAATGAAGGAGAAGGGGATGGAGGGAGAAGGGCAACTCAAGTGCACAGGGAGCTTGGCAGCCTGAAGTTGGGGTTCCTCTGCAACAGACCAATACGCAGGGGTCACATTTGAAGTCTTTGAATGGGGCAATACATGTGGGAGCCAATGCTAGGGAGACAGTGGCATAGTGGAGAAGTGAGGGACAGAAAATGATTATCAGCTCACAGGACATCGCAGGCAGGTATGCTCCTTTGGGAACCTGGAGTTCAGTCCACTGGAAGCTGCAGAGGTTTCCCAGTGAGCATATTTGAGAAGCTGAGGGTGTGAACTGTTATCCTTGAGCCTTCACCAGCTGGAGGTTCGGGGAAGCGGTGGTAGCTACTGGGTACTTCGAGTAAAACTGTTAGCCGGAGCCCAGGCATCAACAGCAAGCAGTGTGGCTGTGCCTAGCAGAACCTTCCGAGGCTCCAGTGGCATTTGTTACAGAGGCCTTGGCACAGGCCCCAGAGACTAAAATGAGAACCAGATCATTTGGCCTCAAGCTCACGAGGTTCCCAATGGCAACTGAGAATCCAAGAGAACTCTCAGCAGTAAGTACTTTTTAGGGACACTGGCTACTCACCATGGGAGAAGCTAGGATAGAAGATCTAACAGCAACCCACAGTGCAAAGGCTTCCTTTAGTGACCTTAGAGGAGGGGGGTCCCTGGGTTCAGGTTAGTGAAGGTACAAATGTATGGGGTGGTAATTTAGGGATTTGATAATGCTAGTTTAGAAGCTTTAGGGAAGGTTCTAGAACCTAGAATCTAGAATGAAAGGCTACAAGGTGTGGTTGTATGTCTTCTACAGGAGAAGCATCTGCCATCTGACTTCTCACTGTGTCAACCTTTGAAGGTGCTGGTGATCTCCCAAGCCAGGTGGATGACATCTCTCCCACAACTGGAGCACACGCCCTGGCCAGGCGTCTGGTTTAGACTTCTGGTGGTGTGACTGTGGCTAGTTGATTTGCACGAAGTCATGGTCAAACCTCCTGGCAGAGAAATGATTCTCGGGAGAGAGGCAGTGGGAAAGGAAGGTGTGGAGTGGGAACATTCTAAAGTCAACATGGTACTGGATGGCATATTTGGTATAGAAAATAGTGTGGCTGGCCCTAGAGAGAAGGGCTACACAGAAAAACACCAAGTTGTTAAGCACAAAGCTGTTAAGCCTAAATCCTTGCCAAACAGTAAATGCTGGCTTGGGTCTCCCGAACAACAAACATCAAAGAGGAGAGAGCATTCTCTTGCAAAATTAACAGTGCTGGTACAGAACCTTGGAAGTCTTCATAAGGCGGTGGTTCTCAACCTGTGGGTTGCGACCCCTCTGGGGTCACATATCAGATATTTACATTATGATTCATAACAGTAGCAAAATTTCAGTTATGAGGTAGTAATGAAATAATTTAATGATTGGGGATCGTCGCACATGAGGAACTACACTGAAGGGTCACAGCATTAGGAAGGTCGAGAACTACTGCCAGCAAAAGAACCTCAAGGATTTCGGGAAAAGAGTTGTTGGCGGGCATATCTGGAAGGTCTCCCGGGCACTTTCAGGAAAACTGGGAGATTGTGGGCAGGAAAGAGAGTGACCTTGGAGGTTCTTAGTAAGGAAACAGAAGTAAGGGCCAGGGAATTTGAGTCAAACCTGCAGGTACCTATGGGTGTACAAGCAATGGGTGCTTTTCCTGGAAAGTGGGGAGCATGCACAATGGCACAAGAATGAAACAAGCTACAACCTGGGTTTCAGCAATACTGTGTTTAGCTTTAACTCTCTGTCTCTGTCTCTGTCTCTGTCTCTGTCTCTGTCTCTGTCTCTCTCTCTCTCTCTCTGTGTGTGTGTGTGTGTGTGTGTGTGTGTGTGTGTGTGTGTGTGTGTGCATGCAAGCCATGGTGAAACGTGGAGGTCAGATGGCAGCTTTCAGGGGTCAGTTCTCTTCATCCACCCTGTGGGACCTGGGGATCGAACTTGGGTTGTCAGGGTGTTGGTGCCTTTAACTGCTCCACCATCTTGTTGGCCCTCTTTTTACTTATCTCTCTTTTCAAAAATGCTTTAAAAAAACAAAAAAACATGGTGGAGACAGGATCTCAGATAATCCAGCTGGCTCCAATTCCCTGTGTAGCTCAGCCTGGCCATGACTCTAAGATTCTAGACCCTTTTGCTTCCACATCCCAGGTGCTGGGATTACAGGTATGTGCCACACAGTGGGCTGCTCCGGTTTCTTAAAATATCATGTAAACTGAAACAACTTTTAAAACGTGGAGCTAAACTTTAAAAAAGAAAGAACATATAGTGATCAAGAAAACTGAGACTGGGAGTAGTAAGTAATAAGTACTTGCTTGAGGAAAGAGGAGAGAAGAATAAGAATAAGAAGGTTGGAGTTGTAAGCAGGGTGTCTCACCCTCAAACAACAATTCCAGAAAACAGAGCGGTGGGCGGTCAGCAGCCTTTGAGAGCAACCTTGTAGGATAGAGCTCTGCCTGGCAGGAATTCAGTCAAATGTTCAATCAGACAATGGGATAAAATAAAGACATTTGATCTGGTCTCAAAAAATTACCTCTCATACCCCGTGCTGTATCCCAGAAGCTGCTAGAGCATGCACCCCAAACAAAGGAGTAAGCTGGTGTGATGTGTGTGTGTGTGTGTGTGTGTGTGTGTGAGAGAGAGAGAGAGAGAGAGAGAGAGAGGTCTATAACCCTAACACTTAGAAGGCTGAAACAGGAGGCCAGCATGAGATACAAAACAAGACCTGACTAAAAACAAAAACAAAAAGATGGAAAACCAATCAACCAAATCAACCCCAAATTTCCCACAAAACCTACAACAACCAAAGCAGCCCCCTCCCCTTACTAAAACCAGGTTAGAAAATAAAGGGAGTGACTAAGAGAAATCCCACACAAGACAAGCTGGAATGGACATTCAATGAACCGTGATGTGATGGAAAAGCAAGAATTCAGGCTGACAGCTGTGCTATAGCCACAGGGGACTGTGACCAGGCTGGGGCAGCCTGCTAGGGACTTATGAAGGAAGCAGAAAGAATGCCATGGCTTATTGTGTATTAAATGGCCTGTTTATTTTTTTTGAAAAGGTTATTATGTAGCTAAAGCTGACTTTGAACTCACGGGGCAGATGAGGTTGGCTTGGAACTCCTCACCTTTTACCTCTACCACTGACACTCTGGGATTCCAGGTGTGTACCAACAACCGCACCTCACCTGAAACTTTTTTTGGATTTTTTTTTATATGTGTGAAATAACTGAGGGATGTTAAGAAAAACTGGTGGAGAGTTTGGGGGTTCAGCTATCAAAAAACACAGCTGCGGGGTCCTTAAGAATGGGATCCACTCAACTTGCAGAAAGAGGAACGCAGGCAAAGAAGAGCATGCCCAGTGCATGTCTGTTAAAACCGGTGCTGAGTCAGTCACATCACCTCCTTTCCACCCCGTTACATCTAATGAGATGATCTCTTGGGAGAGTTAAAGCAGTAAAAGGAAAAAGGAGCGAGCATATGTATGTCTTATATCAATGTATCATATATGAATCAATAATTAACAGCTTTTTTTTTCTTTCAATATTTGAAGTCTTCCTGAGAGGACAGTCTGTGGGAATTGAATAAATCTATTTGTAGATTTTGTTCAGTAAAATATACTTTCTGAAATACATAATGTTAAGTAGACAGCTTGATGGCGTTTTACAAAGTCAATTAATGTGCACTGTGACCTGCCACACCAAGAAACTTAAGTACCCCAGAGCTTGGAGTTTGGCTCAGCCCGAGAAGGCACTGAGTTCCATCCCTGAAACCTATTGGGCGAAGAAAACAGACTTCCTGAAGTTTTCCTCTGACTTCCACTGGTACATTTTGGCAAGCTCCCACACCCATCACTCAATAAACAAGTAAACAAAAAAGAAAATGTCAAAGGAAAAGGAGATTAGCTAAATATGGTAATGCAAGGTGAGGTGGGAGACTTAGAGGCTGGGGTAGTGGAGTGTAGCCAGGTGGGGGCGGAGCCTTGGTCAGTCAATTAGCGCAAGGGGCGTGGTCACGCAGAGGCCCCGGGGCTCACAACGGGGGCGGGGCTCCTGGCCAGCCAGTTAGCACGAAGAGGCGTGGCCACAGGAGGCCTTTGGGGACGACCTAGACCAGGCGTAGGGCTCCCGTCCTGGACCAACCGAACTCAGAGGCCCGCGGAAGGTTCTGGATCGCCAAGAAGGAATCTGGGTGCAAAAACCAGCTCCTTGCGTGAGGAGGAGGCTTCCAGACACTTCGGGGCCCCGGGATTCAGACAGGGGCGGGGCTGCGTGGCGCACGCGGCGTCGGGGCGGGGCCGGCGCTGGCCAAGATGGAGACGAATGTGTTCCGGTTTCGAGATGCCCGCGCCGCTCCGGATCCGGTGCTGGAGGCCGAGCCGGTGGCTTTCGGCTCGCAGCCGGTTCCGCTGGTGCTGGACAACGGATCATTCCAGGCTCGTGCCGGGTGGGCGTGCCCCGGGCCGGATCCGGGCCCCGAGCCGCGCCTGCA